ACATTTTCTATTTCTGCATACAATACAATGGTACAATGTCTCTACATGAACTGTACTTACAGGCTCATCTGTGTGCTCAGGTGGGTCCTCAAGCTCCATGGGTTCTTCAACAACTGGTGGTTTCGGGGACAAGGGGAGGTTCAGAGACAAGGGGAGGCAGGTTGGTCACTGGCTGGTTGGCGTCTCATGATGGACTTGCTGGTCTTCAAGACAGCTTGGCTGGCTTGGCTCGGCGTGGACTTGATGAGGCCCTGGGTGCATGGATTTTGCTTAGTGATGATGCTGCATCACCCGCCCCGAGAGGATGAAAGGCTGCTGAGTGGCCCTGGCTTGGAGCTGGTAGTGGTTGCTCCGGCTGGTCACTGGGCAGTGCAACGGAGTGGGAACTTGGTTCCATAGGAGATCTTTTAAATGCCCTCCTACGGCCCAGCACTGCAAGTGGAACTAAGGAAAAATGAGGCAGGAATTAGCTACTGAACTACTGTTTGCGTTGTAGTGAAATTCTTTTACAACGGTTTCATGAACAAAGCGAAAAAATGATACTTGCTGTTGGTGGTGCCATTTTTGGGGGTGGCTCCACTTGCCTCATCCAGCGGAGGGATGGTGGGTCCAACCCTGCCTCATCCTCCTGGTAGGCCTCATCGTCGCCATCAAGCCTGTCACCCTCAGCGTCATCACGGGAGTACTCTCCACTGAAGCACCACGTTTGTCTGGTCACAGAGGTACTCAACCCTGATGAGCTCACCTAAAAGAAAGAAATGGATTTTTTTTTTGAAAATGCACAGCTAATTTAGACTGCGCATAGAGAATGCAATGCAAGAAAATACAAGAATCTGCCATTACCTTCGTTAGCAAAATAGTTTTCAAAAAAGCTAGGAATGTTAATGCATACCAGTGTACTTCTGAGGAATGCTGAGGGTGGGGTTGACGGGTTCGCTAAGAATACGCTGTCCAAGCTGGTCCACAGCGTACTGCAGGTAGCTGCTGTAAACACGGTGTTCAGAGGCATCAGCAGTGATGGCTTCTGCAGCACGGGCTGCACTCCAGCGAACCAGTCCATCCATCAGGTGCGCCTGGAAGTGGACGTCATTGGTGGTGGTCCCTGCGGATTTAAGTCAAAACTTTGATCAGATCTTTGTGTCAGTGTGTATGTGTCAATTCAACACCTAGGATGACTGTCTACAGGTGTGGCATTTCAAAGAAGTTAAGTCTTACCAAGAATGAATCGGTTGAGGTGGTTGTGAAAGGACTCCAACAACGTCGACCCGCAAGCACATCAGTAGGTGGGAAGTTGTACACTGCCTATGCAGGCCTCCTCTGTCTTGGTGTAGAGTTGCACTTGCTATTTACAGCATTCGCAAATTGATACCAAACTTAAGAAACGACTGCAACATGTAAGCAAACTAGTTTGTTTTTTTACAAACAGGATATTATCGCTTTCTTGATGGAGTCAACTTTGGGGATTGTAATATGTATACTTGGGGACCCCAAGTTTTTTAACATTTCAATCTTGCAAAACTGGTAAGCCCCCCCAAAAAAAGGACAGGAAACACTCTCTTTATTGTGCTTAATCTAATTTTTGGAAATTTCAAATTGTAAATTGTGAGAAAATGTGACTTTTTTTTACTGATAAACCATTCTACCTCCATGGATAAACTAACAATGCAAATTTGAATTCACCGTTAAACACTCAAAGTTTCCCCTCAAAATTTCCCTTGAAACCGAAAACCCTACCCTTATAGCCTACAGTTATTGAGCATGATGTCACAGTCATCTACCAAGGTCAATTCAAAAGTTAAAATGTTACTCTCCCTATTGGAACAGGGTCCCCAAATTTACAATACCCACAACTTAACTCTGAGCACCCGGCCAAAAGAAGACGTGATGGCTCCATGGTCTCATCGATGCGCTGCAGAACATCACTGACGTAGACCGTCAGCAGCCAACTGTAGGTGAGGATGGGTGTCATGGGGGTATCAAATGTGGGGGCGGGGGGATAAGGCCACGC